ATATATATATATATATATATATATATATATATATATATATATATATAAACTAATCAGAACATCACAAGTAAAAGAATACAACATTAAGACACAGATGCTAGTTCACTCTAGATTAAAAGCCAATTAAAAAAAGTGTTTTTAAACAAGTTTTAAAAACAGAGCGTGACAGGGCCTGCCTGACCTTCAGCAGCACAATTGTCTCTATAATGACCAAAATGTCACAAATGTTTTTGTCTGAAATACTATTTTTGACCAATCTTGAAATATTAATTCTTGTATTAAAAATATTTCATTCATTCTGATGCATGCTCAATAATCCAGGTAGAAAAATCTAAAAAAGTTAATTCTGGTCCTCTGGACATTCAAAAAAAACAAAACAAAGCAAAACACAAAAAAAAAAGTAGAAATGTTTTGTCTTTCATCTGAAAGACTTCCTCAGTCTGAGGTGCTGTGTTCAGCTCAGTCTTATAAATAGCACCTTCTCAGAGTGGATCAACCATTTTGCTGCTGACAACCAAAAACAGCTGCTCACATGATCAAGGGGGACCATTGTTAGGCTGATGGTCCTCCTTGATCATGTGAGCGTGTCCAGAGACAACACACAGAGGTACTGCAGAGTTCAGATAAAATCGATCAGCTCACATAGTTCCCTCCGGAAAGATCCGTACGCTCTCGAGGGGTGCCGAGGGGTGCCGAGGGGTGCCAAAGATGACGTCTGATAGAATCCAGAATCCTGAAATGATGTCAGATTCAGCTGGGCCCATCTGATTGGTCTGTAGACTTCCTCGGTGGGAGGGGCAGAGCATCAAGGTTTACTAAACTTCCAGGCGAATTAAGATAAGACGGCCTGTCAAGGCCAGTCAGGATCCAAATTCAGATAAACACAATTGTTTTGGGGACAGGCAGAACTTAATGACATCGACCTCGAGTCTGTGTTGGTCCACTCGATTCTGAAACGTTCAAATTAAATGGGCACACCAATGGACTATGCCTGAGAGTAATCCCCGAGATCTGCTCCATCCTGCCAAAAGGATTAAAAATCTTAGTTTATTTTATTGAGTTGCTGCTTTTTGTCTTTAAATTGTGGATTAAAGGAGTTAAATGCTTATTTTTGTCACAACAGCCTTTTTAAAATAATTGTCATATATAAAGACAAAAAAAACAAACAGTTGAGGATCTTTAAAAAAAAACATGGATAAATACAGCATCTTGTGAATTTACTTCTTTGTGATTACATGTTTAGAAAAAAATCTTGGATTGGTTTAATTTAAAAAGTGGCTGCATTAGGATACAAAAAGAAAAACAATATTGTATATAACCAAAAATGTCCATGCTCAGTTATATCAATATTGTATTAATATTATATCAATTAATATTATATCAATATTGTCCTGTGATCTTACTCGTGTAAACAGGCAACAGTATGGGGAAATAAATTCATTAATGAGGCTTGTTTTCTCTCATTCCCAAGAAGGTTTGGTACTTTTTTCTTGTTCCGAGTCCTTCATCCAAAGCATCAATTAACCTCCCAGGATGCGGACCGTTTGTCAAACTGTAGAGTTTTTCTCCACGTTGTCGTTGCCACATGATATCACAGCAGTCCTGCTCCCTCCGACTAGTTTTAACTGATGTTTTCCTGCAGATTTCAACAGTAGCGCTTGATTTTGATAAATTCTTCACACCAGGATGTTTGTTCCATGCTGAGGGTGTTTTAATTGTGTGCCAGCAATTAATAATCTGTCGTGGCTTTAATTTAAATGCGCAGCCAAACAATACTTTTAAATGTACATGTTTTTTTTAGCTGACTCATCATGTAATGAGAGCATGAGTTCAGAAGTGTTTGTGGTCAGTTTGTTTCAGAAATGATTTTTAGAAGCTTTTCCTTTTTAATACATCATGCCCCAAAATCTGTTTGGTGGTAAATCCTAGGGAAGAGTGAATTTATTATAAATATCCTGAACCAGATAGTTACTGTCAGTCCTCACAGTTCACAGCTTGAATTTATACAAATTAATAAAATGTGCATTTAAAGTTCTTCATGGTTTACAGCCATATTTACTTTTTTCATCCTTTACTGCAGCACTGCAGCTGTTCTGTCCCAAAACCAGAGGCGCCACCAAAAGGAGAGCCAGGGGAGGCTGAGGCCCCCCTTTGTAATTTGCTGGCCTCCCAGTCTGTTAGCAAATTATGTCATGAACTCCTGATGGCCACCAAAGCTAACTGGCATTAGCCAAAACAAAGATGGCTACAATTCAGTGAGTTTTACAGATATTAAGCTAAGATTTGGTGCGTCAGCAGCTGAGAGTCACTCCTGACACATGCTCTGAGCTATAAGGGTTTGTGCAAGACAAGTTTAAACATTCGGCGTGCAAGACAGCAAGTGATATTCATCTTTACAAGGAATGTTCGTTTCAATCATAAATATCAATTAGAGAGACAAGAGGGCAGGCTTTAAGGATTCTTAGCTACATCAAGTGTAAAAATAAAAAAAAGAGCAAAGTACCTACATCAGAAGGTGATTATCTACAGTAACGTACACAGCGCAGAATAATTAAAATTCTGGTATGGGTTTCTGTTGTTGGTTAACAGTAGCCTCATCTGGCCACCTTTGAGAATTTTCTATTCAAAACCTGCTGAGATACACAAAATTAATGTCTAAAGAAAATGTTGTCATTGTCATCACATGGGTGCATGAATGAGGTAGAACAAAAGTTTGTGACTCGGGTCCCAGTTTTAGCTCAGCAACAGACAGCAGTAAAGTAAAAACAGACTTTAGTAGCGTAATAAGGCAATAAAGCCAACAGATATATGTTGTTGTGATTGATTGGTGTCAATCACAACTAATTATGTGTAACTAGGCAAAAGGTCCTTCTCCTACTCCGCTCCTGTTTCCTGGAATATATTGCAAAAAGATCTGAAGCTCTCGACCGTGACCTCTCCAAGTACCTTTAAACATCTGTTAAGTTCCTGGCAAGAACCGATGCAGACATGTTCCTGTTTTTAGTTTTATACACCGCCTCGTAATCTAGCTGGGGTTTTTTTGTTGTTGCTACATTTCCTTTTAATTATCCTTTTAATTACCAATTTGTTTTTAATTATATATAAAAAAATAAAATAAACAAATTTGTATGAATTATTTGTGAGTATCTATTGTTGTCGTTGTTGTCCACTTTTGTCATCACTCTTTGTTAAACTTCAGGAACCACACAGTCCTGCAAACATGGCATTATTAGAACTTTTAAACTCTACAAGACTTTTAAAAAGACTATTTTTGTTACCCTAATCAGTACCACTTTACAATAAGGCTCCCCTTATATATGGCTAATTAATAGTTTATAGGTATATTATTAATTCCTCTATAAACACTTTATGAATCATTAATAGCTGCTTATGATGCGTTAATTAAGGGCAAGAAAGAGACAAAATTGACCAGTTTCTTGTCAAATAGTGAGCCAAATATATCACCTATATATTTACATTAAACATTTCAGACTAAGTTACTACCTTGTAAGTGCAATAAGCATTTGTAAACCTTTTTTTAGCATATAATATTGTACTTTATCACTGCATTAAAAGTATCCATAACTAATATATCCCAAAGAAATATAGGTTTACAAATGCTTATTGCACTTGTAGTAACTTAGTCTGAAATGTTTAATAAGACAACTCTAGATTAAATATATAGGTGGTATATTTGGCTCACCATTTGACAAGAAACTGGTCAATTTTGTCTCTTTCTTGCCCTTAATTAACGCATCATAAGCAGCTATTAATGATTTATAAAGTGTTTATAGAGGAATTAATAACACATCTATAAACTATTTATTAGCCATACATTTAGGGAGTCATATTGTAAAGTGGTACCCAATAATCTAGTATCAGACATTTTTAAAAAGGTTTTAATTCAAAAGCTTGACTTTTACGTCCTTCCAAAAACTGATTAAAGTCCCAGTTTTTTTTTTTTTTTTTTTTCTACAGGCAATAAAAATAGAGGAAGAAGTGTTGCAGCTGAAAAGAGATCTGCTGATTTGAATGACTTAGAAGTCGTATTCTCCAGGAGAGTTTGAAACTGCCTTTAACGTCTCAGTAATTAACTGAACTAATGGACTTCATGGGTCCCATGGGGCAGTTCCTGGCTCAGATCCAGCCAATCAAAAGTTGGTAAAATTGGTGTGAGAGAGAAACAGCTGCTCCCCTCATGAAGGCTGGCTTTTTTTTCCTGCCGTTTTTCTGAAATAAAAAAATAAAAATTCTAGCCAGGCTTTAATGAAAAAACAACAAAAATAAAGGTGTTTATTTCTTTTGATCAGCACTGAAGCTTAGCAACAACCTAAATTAGCAGAACTCCATTCAGTCTCTCTGAAAAACATCATTAGACCACAATCTGCCAATGCTTTTATCTCTCTGCTCTGTTTTTAATTAAAAATGTTTCTGTCATATCCTCTGACCCAAACACAGGACTGAGCAGACAACTGATAGAAAACATATATACACATATATATATATATATTTTACTATAACATCAGATACACCATTTAATACACCGTATTATATTATATTAGCATGTATCTTACCTTGTATAGCGTTTTCTTTTTTTTTATAGTTTATATTATTTCTATTTTTGGGTGTAACTGGGACCTTGAGTACACAGTTTCATTCCACCTCATGTACCACATATGATTTGGGACAGTGGTGGCGCAGAGGTTAGAGAAGATGGGCCTGTGATCAGAAAGTCACAGGTTCAACTCCCGGTACCATCAACATCAAAATGTGGTTGGAAAACGTGAAACACCCACACCTCCCTCCACCCTCACTGGCCCCACTCTGGGCGTTGAGCAAGGCTCTTAACCCCCACGACTTGCTCCCAAAAACAGGTCCATCTTGACAATGAGTTCTCTTGACTCATTGAGAATACCTGTATAAATAAAAGGTAAATGAAAAAAAAAAAGAGTTGAATGACAATAAAGAAACGAACCTTGAGATAATTCTAAAACAGACAGAAACGGGTCTTAACAGGCATATAAAACGGCATATGGTGAGGATGTGTGTCTGTGGCACAGAGCTCACCTTTCAGCATGGTTTAAATGTGCGTTTCACTTCCTGTGTGTGTCAGACCGTCCACGAGGAGAAGGCGTCCCACGAGAAGGACATGAGCAACATACGAGCTTGCTACGAAGAGGAGGCCAACCAGATGAAGGACAGCCAGGCTCGGGCTCTGGAGGAAGTCACCAAGAAGCACAGAGTGACCCTGGAGAACGCCCTGACCAACGCAGAGAGGGACAAGAACCGCCTGCTGGCTGTGAGCACACACACACACACACACACACACACACCATACTGACGCCCTCTCTCCTCCAAGGTTTAATCAAGTCAGAATAGTTGAACAGTGTTAGAATAAGAAAAAATTAAGAACGCCTTTTTATGCCAGAGTTTTCAGCTGAAATCGTCACGGTGAGAAGAGACAGAATTGTAGCTGTTAGGGTCAAACCTTCCAAATGACGTCTGAGATCACACAGGATGTGTTTGCACTCGCAGTGTGTGTGTTGAGGATGACCCTCAGCTGCTGCAGCACCACACTTTAGCTCAAAGACTGGTGTGGTTGAATCGGAGTCATTAACAGGTTTGACTAAAACGACTGCAACTTCATCATTTTTCAACATAAAATCATCTTCAGCTAAAGTTTCTAGGCCTTTAATTTCCACACAAAATGTATTTTGTGTGGAAATGTTATTAAATGAGGTGTAAAACAGACTGTTTATGTGAGGCTAAACAAAAATCTGGATGTACAAATGAGGGATATAAACACTGTGGTGGTACTAACTTTAAATGTTAGAGTTTAGGTTAGCTAACAGAAGGAGGAATGAGTTTATACACAGTAGCTTTGTACTATAGTACATGCTCAGTTTTCTCTTTTCCGTCCCTCATGGTGGATCAAGGGGTAATCACAAATACCCTCTGTTCATTTGTCCATCTGTAGATGTTGTCAGCATGATAACTTTAAATAAAGGTGAGGTACTGACTTCCATTATGGTGTGTAGCTACATCTAGGGATAAGAAAGTTTCCTTATGAACGTTGGGTTGCCATGTCAAAATCTAAGATGGCTGCCATCATATATGTCTGTCCATCTTTTGAGCTGGATAACTTGAAAAATAAGCAACATTCCGACTTCTATTTTGGTGTGTGGATGCTTCTACGTGTACTAAATGTCACTATCAAAAATGGGGTTACTACATCAAAATCCAATATGGCTGCTACCCTATGTACAGGATCATGTATATATCGTATATATCATATATATATATATATATATATATATATATATATATTTATATATATATATATATATATATATATATTTATATATATATAAAGGTGTTTTAAATCCTTCCCATACTCGTGCAATATTCTAAACAATGTTTCTAAACTCTAAACGCACTCAAAGAGCACAGAATGTCATGATTTCAGCTCCCTGTCTCCTCTGTTCTTTGCCACCTGCAAGTGCTCTTGGCCACGCCCACTTCTCAGCTCTGCACGGAGAACAGATGATCAGCTGCAGCAGTAAGGGCTGCACAAAGGTGCAGGAGGTGCTAAATAATTTAAATTTATTTTAAATAATAACTTCATGCCAATCATGTGGGTCATCCATCAATCAGCCAATTGTGTGCCAGGTCCAATCTTATTTTGAAAAAACGTGATAGAGCATGTTCGCGATAAACAAAGTGATTGAACTGCGAAGTAGCGAGGGAATACTTCGCGGTTCAATCACCCCACTCGAAAACTGTCTGTACAAACAGCGTGCAACACAGACGTGTCTCTATCTTCACCACCACCCCCACATCTACAAAAAATCACGGAAGGCATGAGCACCCTGCAAAGGCAAGTGAACCTAGAGGAAACACTGATACTATCCACCCCATCATTTGAGGAAACTGTGCTTTCTAGTTTTTATATTGCTTAAAAGTATAGTCTGTTCAAATGATGAGGTGGCCTTTGTGGTGACTGAAAATTAATCAATGAATGGGGGCCAAGGCCACCATTGGCCACTCCCTGACTCCACCCATTTGCAACAATCTGTCACTCTGTGCCGCCTCGGACAAGAAAAAAAAACTATTGGTACGTCTGTTATTCTAAAGTGTGACTCCTACCTCCTTGAGGATCTTGCACCAAAAGTATTGTGTACTTGCATTCTTTGTGTACAGTCCAGAAAAAACACTAACTTCAAAAACTACTAGCATTCACTAGTCAAACATAAAACCTTTTGTGTTTATTCAAAGTAACTGTTAAAAGCTTCACTCTGAGAACAGACCCACCGGCTAGACAACTGAACAAGTTGATACACAATGTAAAAAAAAGAAGTAGATTTTATAATAAAAAAAGATAAATGTGCAAGAAGCTCTTCTCACTTTACTTCTTTACACCAGATCTAGATTTATAACTGTTGAATGGTGCCGTTTCAGTGAGTTTGATTTTCTAACAGTGACTCGGTGAAAGCCCAAGATTTCAGCTCTGTGTTCTGCTTTTACTGTCTGCCACAATGTCTGGTTCTGTCGCAGCACTTGGTGTGTTGGTGCTGGATCTGGTGATGGGGGAGCGGTGACTGACACACCCTTCACCCCGGCTGCACATGTTTTAGTGTCATCAGGTGGACTGGGAGCCTTTTAATGCGCCAGTGTGAATATCACAGTTGGATCATTATGAAAAAAACCAACACAGATATTAAAGATGAATATCACTTGTGTTTATTTACCCACTGACGTGCTGTCTGCTTCTGAAAAATACTTATAACAAGCTGTTACACTCAGAGTATGTGTTGAGGATGACTCTCAGCTACTACCACATCAAATATCAGCTCAGTATTTATTAAATTACCTGATTTATAGTCATGTCTGTGTTGGCTGTGGTCTGTTAGCTACAGCAGCCATCTTGAGTCTCACAATGTTAAGCAGTTGTTTATGCACATCCAGTGTATGTTTACTGAATGTTGTATTAAAATCATCCCTGATGTTCATGAGATATTTTGCTAACAGGCAGGCAAAGCTGACTTCAAGTAGTTAAGTCCAATATTTTAAACACATTTCTTGTGCAGTTTATTAGTGCTCAGAATATGTGTTCAGTCTCAGCTACTACCACACCAAATTCAGTATGTGAAATAGACAGAATTGCAGCCATTTTCCATGGCTAAAGTTGATGCGGTGTGGCATCCATTTTGAATCGGGTCAGCTTATTGACATTAATACAAACGAAGAGGAAATTGAAGCCAAAGTGGCTGTTTTTTTGGTAGCTGCCATGTTGTATTTTTGCACCCAGAATCAGTAAAGCTAGAATGTGTAGTTTCAATATGAAAGTCCCTAAATGTTCGTGGAAAACATAAAAAAACATAAAGGTAAGAACCACACGAATCAACAGAACCAAACATGTGAAAAGTTATCTGGTGTGTATTTTGGTTTTCTTAGTCAGGAAAATGTCTGATTCATTTATATGGAGGGGGCGGGGCTTAAAGCATGTACACCACAAGCGGCTTCAACTTCCAGGTTCTGTTTCTGTTTCTAGCTATCATAAATCTCAACGAGTTGACTTCAAACTTTAACTAGTTGTACATCCAATGATTACTTTTTATCAATAATAGAAATATTGGAAAATGTAAATGTTGAGCTGCATTTGTCTGTTAATCTTGGCGGGGGTTGTGGTGTGTTGTGTTCTGGTTTAGATGTTTTTAGTGTTTTGTTTATATTTCTGAGTTAATTGACTCTGAGTCTACATTGGTTTAAAAATAATATTTCTCCCATGTTCAAGTTGTTTTGTCTCGTTTTCTTATGAATTCCAGTCAACGGTACGTTGTGCTTTATTTTGTGTAACTTTTTCATCTCTGGAGTTTCTTCCTGTCAGGTTTTATTTAGCTGATTGGTTACGTCTCGGCACCATTCTGTTGATTATCACCGTCTGTGAGTTTTGTTGGGATTTGTCTGTTCTTTGCCGTAGCTTTGTGTTCCGTCTTTGTCCCTGTCGCTGCTCTTCATGTCGTCGTTCTCGTTGTGAATTTCTGTTTGTCTTGTTTTTATTGCCAGCTTTGCTGCACTCCTAGTTACTGAACAGTTTTTGTTCTTCTTGTTTTCCTGCCTGCTGTTTACATTTGGGTCTTAATTTGTCCCCTCAGGACAACATCAAGCTGAAAACAGTCTGATTTTACAACAACAAAATAAAATAAAATAAATAAAACAACATTAAGCACAATCGATTCACGCTGTAAAACAAGCACAGAAACACTGTTTGGAACGTCTGCGTCCTAATGCATTAATTATAAGGAGCAACGCACATTGAAGTTCACCACAACATTAACAATTGATACAACTTGCAGTTAATGTTCCTGCCTTCTTTCTGTCCTGCAGGATTGTATTGCTCCCCATTAAAGGCTGAGTATTACCTTAAAAAATGTGTTTTGATGTCTGAGATTTAAACTAAACTCAGTCCATCTTACAGTATGTTGAGAACAGTGCTTAATTTGTAAACCAAACGGTGCCGGAACGCAAGTAGCTGAGGGGGGGCGCTAAGGGTCATTTCCTGCATTCTGGTGTATTTTAACGGGCTGTTAAACATCTATGTGTTAGATATTTATCTAGACTGGTCCTGACACACCCTGTCAAAATAAGAGTTCCTGGATCCTGTTCTGGCTGAGATGTGTTGGTAACAGACACACAAACACGAGCAAAAACATTATTACCCATCTTCACCCTTTGACAGCGATAAATAAAAATTATGATAATAATAATAATATAACTCGCACAATGGAAGAATTCCTGGAACTTGTATTTATGTTCAAACTCTTTCTCTCCGGGATTTATTAGAGCAAATATACGATCCTGCTGCTCCGCCAAACGGTAAATAACTTTGGGAAAGAGCGCTGCTGCTAACAATCATTTCTGTTATTCATCCATCCATTCATCCATCCATCTTTACCCGCTTCTTCCTTTTCGGATCATTTTTATTCCTTACAGTACAAGTGGAAGCAAATAATGCCATAAAAGTCTGATTTGATGTAAAAGTACAAAACAATAAACTTTAAGCTGTAAAGTCAAATGTTGACGAGTACATTTACTGAAGGGATGTGCAGACTTTAGTGGTGTAAATGCTGAGTCAGCATTCATAGTTCGTTTATTTTCCCTCTGTACATTTTTAACAATGTAACACTTCTGCTTACTTTGTGTCCGTTTTAGCTATTCATAACTCAAAACGTTCAGCTCATTCAGGGGATGGGTGATGCGACTTTTGTTTTTTATAACTCTTATACTTGTGAAAATGTT